AGCTCAACAGACCAACTTCCAGCTAAGAAAAAAAGATTAAAAATCAGATTGAAAATCAATTAAAACGGTACTATTATAATGTGATTTTAATCAGAGTCTTCACATTTAAAGACAGATTTCATTTGATTTTAACTTTGCTTTCTATCTCTTTTAATGGATTATTAAAATAAAATTAATTACAAGTGATTATTAGAAATTGATTTTAATTAATTAAAATTTGTTAACCAATTAAAATAGATTAACAAATGTTGAAATCAAATGAAATCCGTCTTTAAGGCTTAAAAATCGAGTTAAAGTCAGATTAAAACAGTGCCTTTGCAATTGATTTTCAATCGGATTTTTAACTATTTTTTTCTGTCATGGGTTATTTTCTCGTTTTTCTTTTATTCATTGACAGTAAAATGAATGAACAACGTGATCGTACTTTACATTCGTCTTTCTCTGACAGTTGCAGAATGTTTAATCAAAATTAAGCGACAAGGATTTGTATATGTAGATTCACATCTATATCCTTCATGTCAAAATAGATCTTTTTATGAGTTGCTAATCGTTTAGTTATCTTTTGATATTTTTTCGCTTTTACTCATTGAAATATATTGTGTGAAGATCAAAAACAACGTTATTAATAATTTGGTAAAGAAAAATATCCTTTTACTAGCTGAAATTAATCTTCGAAAGCCTTTCTGAATTGTTTTCCGGATTTTGGACTCATCCATCTGGCAACACTGTACCGGACCGAAATTTTCTGTGATAATCTGGCAGATATCAAGAAACAAAAGGAAAAAATATATAATTGTACAAAAAAGTTACAATTCTCTCACATGTATATTTTTTCTTCTAATGAAATTTCGTAACGAAGTATTTTTTTTAAAAAATGCACAAAAATATAACCAAAGGTTAATAAAAAACCCGGTGCATTCGATAGCTTTTGAAAAGATCTATCTGATTATGAAGTTTCTTTAAAATTAATTTGCCATATAAGCGAATAAAATACACTATAAGTAGTTTTTGTTACGGAATTTCATCAAAAATCGGATGTTTTTATTTGTGATGATTCAATCATTTTTTTTGTAAGAAGCTCACTAGAAGAAAAAATGATATTACCATCACTTCATAACTGCACACAGGGGTAGGTAGTGACATCTGCCGTATATACTATCGTTAGTACCCTTTCAATTGACATATTTAGTTTTCTTGATTTTTTAATTCGAACCTCTCCCCATGCATGGAGAACCGATGCATGGCCATGTCCATTGCTCTTCCTCGGAAAACTTCCTTACAACAATTTCCATGTACAGTTTTCACTCACTGCAAGACTCTACTTTTTACCATATAAACGATCTAGACAAGAACTAGAAGTGATATCGATGTGAAAATCGTTACGAAATCCTTTTTTTTATACGGAATTAGTAAAAGCTTTCTGAATTTTTATCTGCGAAAAGAACATTCCCGAAATCTCTTCGACAATGATGATCCCTTTTCTTTTTCATTCATTGTAGTAATTCCCAATGTTCCAGAAAAGAAGCGATGGGTACTGATTAGGATCGACATTTGGGTATTAAGTAGAGATGGACAACTACACTATATCCTGCTCCAACTCCACATAACTCCAGTCCTATTTTCTAAAACTCCACATCATCAAATACAGTGTGTTTCGCTCCAACCTTATACCACTCCACTCCTTTTTTTCTAAAATCCTACTCCAACTCCGATTTAGCTTCAATTCCAGTCGAATTTCAGAAAACTGAACTTCTACCAAAACACTCTTAAATACACATAAGTTTTTTAACATAATTAAATCTACGATTGATATCAATTAGTAGCATATTAATTTATTGTTTTATAAACTTTCTCATAAAATCCAGAGATAGGCACCTTCACTCTCGTTCTGATGAGAAATAGTGTCAACTTTGGAGTTGTAATTGCCCATCTCTGATATCAACCATTCCAAAATACTTACTCTTCAGATCCTCCTGAACATATCCATAACATGCAAGCTTACAGAAGACTTCTCAGAACAAGTACTACATAAGGATTATAACATGATCCTCATAGAAGATACTCATTATTTTTAGATTTTCAGATTTTGACAGAGTATCTTATTTAGTCATCAAAATTCTCTTTGAGGACCCTTATACAATGGTTTGAAGATGGTGTTCATCAAAAGTTAAAAATAGCATTTTAGGACACTTTCTTTTCAAAGCCCATAAAATCCATAGATTCCAATGTTTGTCACTGGAGAACTCCGTTCGGATTGACATCCATCTTTTCAGCATTTGCAAAAGTAGAAGTCCCTTCAGATTAAATAGATTCGCGTGGAATTCTCTCAACATTGTTCAATTTCTCCTATATCCAAACCTTCTCATGATCTTACTTAGAGTACATCACGGTTGTTCTTCGAACAGCTTCACATAACTTACCAAAAGCCTATGCAAATACTTAGGAGATTCTTCGGCAGATCTATATTCATCATACAGAAAATCATGTATCCTTAAGGTTTCCTAAAAAACATAGGGATTAGGTTTGATATTTTGTTGTTCCTCGATTCGATATTCTTCTCACAAGATACAGATAGAATCTTCTCTGATGTTCATATAAATGATCATTCTGCCAAAAAGATTCTGAATTCTTGCAATTCTGAATAAAATCCTCAGATCTCTATGTTTTTCTATCAAAAACTTACATGGAATTAGTATTACTCTTTCTTTGAGAACCTCCTTACAGCAATCTTCAGGTGTTATTTTTATGATCAAAAAGATCTTGGCAAGAATTAGAAGTAACATACATATAAGAATCGTTACCAAATCTTTTTCTTCTCATAGAAAACTAAGAAAAGACTTCTGAATTTTTATCTGTGGAATGAGCATTCTCAAAAACGAATGTCATATTTCTAGCGCTTACTACCACGAGAGACGAAATCCCTTCGACAACGACGATTCCTTTTCTTTTTTGTTCATTGTAGTAATTCCAAATATTCCAGCCGATGCCCGATGGAAACAAGATGGGATCACCGTTGCTGGAGGCCATGGAGGGGGCAGTGGCACCAATCAACTCTACGGCCCTCATGGTCTCTTCGTTGATGATGATCAAACGATAGTCATCGCTGATTACTTCAATAATCGTATCATCCAATGGAAGATGGGTGATACGAATGGACAAGTTGTAGCTGGTGGCAATGGCAAAGGAAATCGATTGGATCAATTGGATCAACCAACCGATGTGTTGATTGACAAAGAGACGGATAGTCTCATTATTTGTGATTGGGGGAATGTACGAGTCGTGCGATGGTCTCGTCGTAGTGGTACAACTCAAGGAGAAATCCTCATCGACAACATCGCTTGTCTAGGATTCGCCATGGATGGTCAGAGATATCTCTACGTCTCTGACACCTACGAACATGAAGTAAGACGATATCAAATAGGAGACAAGAATGGAACTATTGTGGCTGGTGGCAATGGCAAAGGTGCTGGTCTCAATCAACTCAACTATCCGTACTACATCCTTGTCGATCAACAACAGACTGTCTACGTGTCAGACCAAAACAATCATCGTGTAATGAAATGGAATAAAGGTGCAGAAGAAGGAATTATCGTCGCTGGAGGTCAAGGCTATGGGAATGTTCTGACACAATTGTCGCATCCTAATGGACTGTTCGTCGATACATTGGGTACCATCTATGTAGCAGACTCATTGAATCATCGAGTGATGCGTTGGCCTAAAGAAGCGAAACAGGGCACTGTCATTGTGGGTGGAAATGGTAAAGGAGAAGGAGCAAATCAGTTCAACGATCTCCGAGGTTTGTCCTTCGATCGACATGGTAATCTCTATGTCGTCGATTATAATAATAATCGTGTTCAACGCTTTTCAATTGAATAGACTCAAAACGATGAATTATTTTTTTTGCGTTTCTTTCGTTTCAAATAAATCACATTGAATTGATGAAATGAATATCTATTCTATTCGCGCGCGCGACCAGGAACTATCCTGGTGGCGCCGTGGCGAGCGTAACACTCATGCACGCACAGGACAGACTCATATCATTCATACTCTCCCCGCGAGAGATATGTCAATGAGTCTGAATAAGCCTGGTCGTGTGCCACGGACACCAAGACGATTCCTGGCCAGTGTTTAACGTCTAACCTGAGAAGACGATCTAACTAACACTCATAACTCTATCTCACTCTCTCTCTCTAACTATAAAGAAAAAAAAGAAATGTATACTTACAATTCTAATAATTGATATTGAATGTAAGACGATGACTATCTAAAAGAAAAAGAAAAAAAATTTATTTAGATTCGTTTAAATTTAAAATAAGACTTACTTTCTATTATATCCACTGAAAAGAGAAAAGAAAAAAAACCATATTTTCAGAAAAATTAATAGGTTGCATATCGCTAACCCATTAATCTTAATGATATATATATAATTTAAAAAAAAAGAAAAAAAAATTAAAATAATACCCACATTTTTATATTGTGTTGCTTGATATTATCTTGTTTTGTTTTGTACCATTAAGTCCATCCTAAAATATAATAAGAAAATTTGTTAGTTGATTCATGTAAATGAATAATTTGTACATTGAAAAATCATTCATTTATATACACTTGAAGAGAGTTATTTTTTCTCTGGAGAGACACAATTTTCTTTTTTTTTCCACTCTCCATAGAATTGTTATTAATAGAAGCTATCAATTAAACTTCATTCCATATATGCTTATACATAAAGCTTAATTGATTGTACACTTTATGTATATATGTAATTATTGATCATCAAAATGTACATGATCAATACACATATTGAATGAGATTGAGAAAAAAACATGGTCATTGTCTTGTACAGAATCATATAGACGATATTCGTTGTTATCTTGTCGATGAATGTTGTCACATGTTTCTCTGCTATTATATACAATGCAAAAAAAAAAATTATTATTTTATTATGATGAAATCATCAATATTTTATATCAAGAAGGAAAATCATATGTTTTTTGTATTATAAAATGTTTAATCCTCAAGCAAAATTAACTAGAATTCGACCATCAAATGATGGAATAAAACATTCAGATATTACATATTATACACCAAGCATTTACACTAGTAGAATTAATATTGATTTTTTTTTCTCATTACGTCGAATTGGTCTTTCTCTACGTGGAAATTTATTAACATATGAAGCAACATTAGATATTGATATACTACTATTAACAAAACAAGTTATTCATGTACTTAATGTTAATTGTAAGTTAGTTTTTGTTTTAGTTAAATCATTGATTTAATTATTGATAATATTTTTCTTTTAAAGATAAACCATATTTTCATGATTTTGATGCATTTACTGACGTGAAAGAAAATCAATCATTTAATATTACACTAGAAGCAAGTGTTTATCCAATACCAATAACTCATACATGGTTTCTTTTTTTTTATGTAATAATATTTAGTAGTTATTTTTTTTTCTTTTTATAACTGTACCCGATGTTTCAATACAAGTTTATGTTACAAATATATCTTATTCATCATTATTAATTAGTTCGATATCTGGTTTTGATGGTGATTCACGTGAAACATTTCAAATTCGTTATCGTCTTTCAACAAATGATCGCTATTCATATAAAGATGTAACATATTTGATTTAATAAATTTATAATTAACTAGTGAATATTATATAAATATACGTGCAAATAATTCATATCATTTAAGTGATTTGACAAATGAAATAAAAATTTTAACATCACGTTATTTACCAACATTACTATTTTATTCATTTACAAATTCAGTTAGAACAACAAGATTTTCATTAACTGTTATTGTTATTGTTGCTGTATGTTGTTTATTTATATTATTAATTAATATTATAGTTAATATCATTATTTATAATGAAATGTCGACGATCAAATATAACAAATGATAAATTATCAAAAGCTGGTACAAATGAAACAAAAGCTAATACACTTGATATATTTCGAACAATATCATTAAATTTATTTTTCGATCGATTATATTCATCAATAATAAATGCTTATCGATTTAATAGATATCAAAAATATGAAGAAGATGATATTAAACAACCATCTGTATCATCATATTCATCAGTTACATTAACACGACTTACTCCTAATCAAAGTCGATTATGATCACGAGGTATATGATTTTAATTTTTATATTATCTAGATGATATATCTTCTTATTTGGGACTAAATACAACTATAAAAGTAATATTTTATTTTTTTATTTTTGTTATTAAATAGAATATCTATAAAAAGAAATATTCATTGATGTCTTTCGTTTTCTCTGACTTTTTTTGAATGTATAAAATCAATTCCAAGTTGCATACTGACAGTAGAAAGAAGAGCTCAAAAAAGGAACACTGAACTAAACTATAGATATAGTGATAAAACTTTCTATGGAATTATTATTCAAATTTGTTGTAATGTTTTATAGATAAGATCTTTCATAATGGACATATTCTTATGTTGTAACATAGTATATTTTTATTCAAATAGTCGGAAGTGTATGCCTAACATTAGAAGAAAAAGAATTTTTCAAATCGAATTCAAATGTTTGTAATATAAACGAATAAAATCTGAAATCATTTCTGTAGGTTGTTGGCATCAAATTTATCAAAATCATTGAGAAATAACTTTGTTAAACTGAACTATGATTGAATTTCTAAAATTATTATCAATAAAGAATAAATATATAGGATGAGGAAAAACTTTTCGAAATTTCGATAACTTATGAGCCTGGAAATTTTTTTTATTAAATTTAAACATTTATCAGTAATAGACATAGAATTATAAGCTTCCAAGATAACACTACGTAAATATCAAATAATGATTCCAGTGTTATTCAATGGTTGATAGACATTATTGTTTGTGATATCCTTAACAATAAATGTTACTTTGGAGGACAAGTTTTATTTTTGTCGAACTAAATTTTGATAATGATCATCATTATTCAAATTATTAATGGCTTAGTAAGAAAAGTTATATGAAACTGTGAGAAAGCGAATAAATAGTTCTCACAATACATTGTTCTTTTTATTTCATAGTGACTGAAATGTTGATTGTACTATTTACAATCATGTAGAACTTTTCATCAAATATGAATGAAATCGTTAGTACGATCAAACGATGGGTGTAGGTGTCTAATGAACAACGCAAACATACGCACACTTATATTCACACTTACACCCACACCCAAATCATGTACGAAAATACTCATCAAATAAATTATATAAATTTCATAAATGCTGTGATGATGAAAATAAATCAGATAGATATATTTTTGTAATTAACCAATGAACATATAGTTCAATTAGGATTTCTAATGATGATGTTAAATCAAGACCATGATGAGAAAATAAAATGATGATATAAACTCTAAATTATATGTTTTTAAAGGTGGATGTTCATACTCTAATTTTCTAATTGATAGAAAATATTTCTCATATTTTAGACTTTATTAATAGAATATAACAATTAGAATATATTCTTGTATATGAAATAAAGGTGAGAGAAACACTAGATTTTTTGTTTGATGAAATTAATTTATTAATGATTTTGTTTTTCTCTTAACTTAGATTTGTGTACAATAAAGTTTAAATTCTTCTGACAATAAATCATACCTATCTAATTGTTCAATATTTCTTTGAATAAATTATTTGAGTCTGTGTATCTAATTTTGAACGTCTTTACATATATTGACCACTGATAAAAAAGAACAGATAAAAATCTTGTTTATTTTTGAACCTCGTTACTATTGTGTTGTATTTGTGTCGAAAATTTTTTCTTTTATTAAATTATTTGTTATTTATTTATTTTCATAATTAGATTGATTGATAGTGAATTAATTAAATGATAAAAATGAAAGTTATATTTCTTGAAATTGTATTCTTAATAATCAACCAACTCCAACATTGTCTTTGTATAACATACATTACTCAAATGTTGATAAAGAAAATAATAATATAGCTATACAACGTTAATCATGTTAATATGTATATATACTTAATTTTCCTTGTTAAATAATAAGAGTAATAATTTTATAGATGATGTAGTATCTAGTTCAATTAAATTTAAGAATTAATTTATTTGATACAGTTAAAATATGTCGTTTAGAAAGATATTCAAATATTGATAATAATGTTTTCGATAATCTACAAGATAATATTATATTTGATCTGTTTTACAACTAAGAAATGGTTTATTTTTTTGAAATATATTTATATAAATTATTTCTGATATAAATATTATAAAACATAATAAATCATGTATATTATCTATTGAAAAT